GGTTAGATTTCTTTGCTAAAATTAGAAACGCTATCCCAACATGTCTGTCATACCGGTACAGAGCGCTCACTAAAGTTGATTGCCTCCTCGACACCTTATTTGTAGTACCGCCGGTTGGGACCTAAACCACAGCAATACGCTTCAAGCCCATGGTGCCCCGATTATACTACACTTCGCGTCAGCACGCCCATGACTAAACAACAAGCAGCCATGAAATCTCAAATATTAAGAGCGTTGCGCGTTTCTTCTGGCCTGCAGTCGTGTGAGCAGAATGTGTTTGAAGCTAAATTAAGTGGGAAGTGCTCCTCGTTTTCCATGACAATATATACCCATAAAACGGGTGTCCAGTGCCGCTTGTATTGCGCATCCTCGATGTAATTCCTCATCAAGTCCAAAAAGAAGCCGTACAAAGGTGAAATAAACGCATTATTCATATGTGGAGCACGTCTTCATAGATGACGTAATGTGAGAACAGGGATATACCGCGCTACCACTGCACAGCGGAATGACTGCAAACAGGGGCAGGTCCAGTATGTCGTGAAGGGGGGGGGAAGCATGTAACATTGTGGTGCTCCTTAGTGTTTGGGGTCCCCTCCAAACAAATTCTGCCATTAAATTTTAAGATAAAAGGGATATGTGCATTACATCCCTAGCTTTTAGCCAAAGTAGTGCTAGCTTTTGGCCTTTTTTTGCTCTTTTTGGCCCTTGTTTTCTAAGGGCTGCACAGCATAACATGGGTTCCAATACTTAAATTATTTATTTTATGCATAAATGTGCATTTATATATATATATACACACATACACACACATACATATATAGATACATACATATATACATTTTATCTGTATATGTGTAATAGCAAATACGGGACCCACGCAAACAATATGCACGGCCTTAGGGTAGCATGACTAGCAGTCCTCATCCTAATTTCATTCTAGATGACCGTTCCAGGAAACCCTAGTGTTCCTTTGGGGGTACAAGTTCCTCACGCATGCGCCAAAGGATTGCAAATGAAATGAAAAATGAGGTAAGACATCAAATCTCCAGGAACTTAAGTACAGGGACAGTTCAGGTGGGATAATCGAAGCGTAAGATTTCAGACCGGTTCGTTGGACACCTCAGTGGCGCACGCATACAGAAGGTGCGCACATCGTTGCGAGGAAAACATGACAGGTAAACACGTTAAGTATACCTAATGTCGAATTAAGTAATCGCATCGCGTGCGTAGTTTGATAGATGCAGCATTGCACAAGAAACACTAGTTGTAAAAGAGACATTTTAATGCCAGGAGACAAATATGCATAAATTTAGATTGTTGCGCGCAGTCGTCAACTTTGCTCGAGGCAAGTAAGCATGCATCGTCCCCGGACGTCACATGAGCAGCGTTTTTCATGTGAAGTACATCTAGAAATGGTCCTTTAGTCATTGTCTTGAACACCTTGACCTAATTCCTGGTACTGGTCAGCTATTAATTCAAATTTAACCGTTTGTGTTTCGATCAGCTTTCCGCACGTGCTGGATATGGGGTGTTTCTATAATACCATATTGGAGAATATTCACCCTCATTCAATGATATTCACTACTGACGACAATGATATTCACTACTGACCTACCGAAATATTTTTGATGTTAGCTTGCTATTGCTGAAAACCCATCCCATAGTAACCATATTGCTAGTGTATGATACCGGAAGCGATTATTAACTCAAGCTTATTTGTTATTTGAACTTGTTTGAGCTTATCAACCCGAACTTTTGATGTCTGCATTATACTGACAATCGAGCAGCCAAGATCGGCATCCAAAATTGCCCACTGCTTGTATCGATTTCGACAATTATATTTTCAGGCATAGCGCGGCTATGATTCCATTTCATATTCCGCCTGCTTTCAATGTTTTTTAGCAGCCCAAAATGCAGGGGAATCTTGCCGGGCTCAACTTTGACAATTAGCGACCAGTGCTCGGCGCCGCGCCTCCAGCAGGCTCCATCGCGTCGTGGAGTGGACATAGATCTGTTACTAATCTCGTAATCTGGCCGGCCAGCCTCACGCGCGTGGTCTTCGTAATGGTGTCGACTGTATGCGCGCGGCCGGCGCTGGCCGGGGCAACGCTGCCTGCCAATAAGGGCGATCATTCATACCCTGGCGGTCGCTGTAGGAACTACTTCGGAAGCTTTGGTCTTTGGACATTCTGTACCCTGGATAATACGTACGTTAGACATTCTGTACTTTGGACATTCTGTACCTTGGACATTCTGTACATTAGACATTATAAAATGGACCCCGTCCACTCTGCGCCATTTTGGAAGTTATTTCTCATCTTGGACATTGTGTACCTGGGACATTATGAACTTTGAACATTCTGTACTTTGCGCATTCTGTACTTTGGACATTCTGTACTTTAGACATTCTGTACCTTTGGACATTCTGTACCTTGGACAATACGATACGGACTCAACAGAAGCCATGGCGGGCGACACAGCCAAACAATGTTTGCTTCCTTCCATACTTGCCTGCTCGTAGCTTCACCTCACGCTGAACCCGTCCTCAAAGACCAACTCCCTCGCAACGAGTTGTGCTCGGTCCGTGGGCTGGCGCCGAAAGATTCCGATGCTCGCGAAACTTTTCCCGCCCGGACAACTAGAACGCCTTCGTTGACACGCCAGACCGTTCGCACGCGGTTGGCGGCAGGCAGGTTAGCGCGAATGAAAACAGCGCGAACGATTAGATGATGGACCAAGGCAACCGATTGCCGTCACCGCGTAAGACGGACTGCAGTGAACACATAAGATCGAGGGAATATGACAAAGATACGGGCATGTAAATTGGATATGATCAGAATGGTTGTAAGTGTATTCAGCTCCTTTCATCGTTTCGCTAAATCTTTGGCAATAGATGCAGGAACGCGCAGTCCGCTTACGGCAAGCCCAGTGTGTGGGGCATGCTACAAATGCTCTTGAAACGGGAGATGCAATAGTGTAGGCGTTAGGCGACTAGCAGCTGATCACATGTAGCAACGCTGATACAAATGTCAGAGCAGCATGTTATTGTCGGCATTTAGCGAATACGTGGCTAGAAGACAGCAGTGTGACGGCAGGTTCTCCATTTAATTTAACTTCTCCGTCATTTCAGATGGTGGGAGGTTTTCCTGATACGTACCTCGCTTAAGATAACAGCATGCTGCGCATTTGTTTCTTCTCACGTTTTCTAGTCTGGTATATCTTGCCGGGTTGTGAACGAAATTATATAACGGGAGATATGTGTAACCCAGAATTAGAGTGCAAATGTGTGAATTCATATGTAATGCTCAGAAATATGTGGTTGATGGTATATCCCTTCTGCATGTGTTTTGTTGTAGTATTTGTAAGTATTCTCACCGTCTCACACATAACATTATTGCTGCATTGGATATCGGACATGTTTCGTGAAAAGATAATCCTTATTTTGTTGATATTTGCTACCATGTCAGGCAAAAATGTTTGCTTACATCCATATTTACTTGCTTTTTGCCTCATCTCACACTGAGCCCGTCTCCGAATTCAACTAACTTGCAACAAGTCGTGATCTGTCTGGTGTCCGGTACTGGACGACTATGACGCTTGAGAAAAGCTGGAAGCGCGAGACGTCCTCGCCTGGCCAATTATTAATGCCATTAGAACATTGTCACCCACGCGCCACACCTCACGCGCCTGACGACAGGCAGGTTGGCGCGAATGAAAATGGCGCGAACGATCAGCTCATCGGCTAAGGCAACCGATGACCGTAACCGCGTACGTCAGTCGCTGTCAACGTTTGCTTTTTTACTTCCTATTTACTTGCAACCAGGAGTGGAGCTCCCTTTCAGTTGCAGGAGATTCATACCTCGCCTTAAGTTGGGCTGCAGCCTGCAGATTTGAGAACAAGTGAGCCAAATTCGGAGAGAAACCAGTTTGTTGGCATATCATCAGGGTACTCTCCCTTTTTCGCTAGGCCAACCAACTTATGTTGCGAAACCACGTTCAGCTACCTTGGACAATATGAACGCCCCCCGCTAGAGGAATGATAAATGACGTTCACAACTTGGAATATAAGGATAGGCGTGAGGCCTTGCGTTTGTATTGACTGATTTATCTTAGACTTAAAGGGGATCTGATTGAGGCGTTCAAGATTACGAAAGGAGACAAGGTAGATCTACAAGAAGCACTGGAAATTAGGCCGAGACTTAGAGGAAACCAGTTTCAATTAGCAAAAGGAAGTAGAACTATGAAGAGGCGGATGTTATTTGCCTAAAAAGTAGTGAACCATTGAAATAGACCCCCTAATAAAGTTGCGGGAAGTTTCTCCCTAGCAAAATTACAAAAAATATTTGGACAAGTTCTATTGATTTCAGGATCTCATTGATACCTAAATTCAGGCAGTTCAGGCAGTAAGAGAAGTGTCAAGGGCAAGTGCGGGACATGGGGTACGCAAACCTCGATGAACCCTTGTGGCTCTCTAACGGTCTGATGTTTTTTATGTCTTCATGTTTCAAGCAATGCTAGTAACGGTCGGGTCTTTTAGTTAATATGACTGGCTTGCTACACCGCTCTCTGCTTAGTACCTTTAATGCCACGTAAATCCACTGCCATTCCCTCACTTGCAACGGCTGGAGCCCACCCAAGTGCATGACAAGCGAGGCTGACTGCGTGTACCCTGAACCTAATATCCGGATAGATATTCCGGTTGAGCATGTGACTTTTTCTCATACTAGCCGGAACTGGATAATTTATTTCGCGGTCGGCAGCGGTTGACAGCGTTCGCGTGCCATGGTTATGTCCTGTGGCAATTCGCGGGGAACGCCTTGCATACTATGTATTGTTTTGATCCGGAATGAAGTCGTCTTAGAGCTTTGGCACCGCTCCGCTGTACGAAAGAGTCCAGTTCAGCTTTTGGCCCCCTGATGCCATCGACGCGTGCATCGTCGAACGTTCCACATTTCCGCTGTGAACAGCGCATCGGTGTCCTCTCACGATACATTCGCCCGGTTTATCCAGTCTCTCCTGTATATTCTCAAAAAAAAATTGCCAGAAAAAAGAAAGGCCGGTACATCCTTCCGCTCCTTACAGTACACTACTTCGTGGTGGAGCGCGGGCAGGGAGCCTGGCGCTGGGTGCACGGGCCGCAGGACGCTCGCCTCAAGGCCCGCCCCGCCGCCGCCGCACCTCCTGGCCCGGTCAGCCTCGCCATCTGGTGCAGGCGGGAGCACTCCCATACCGCTCCACAACGCCACGGGCGCACAGTCGACAGCACTCACGCGTACACACGACTGACATGGTGACTGGTCAAATGACAGCCCTGGTTATCTGAGACCGCGCCGCCGGCTCGCCCAAAATAAACACTAACAAGGTCGCTGCCCGCTCACACGAGCATCGCGGCCGCGCACGTCCCCTGCAGAGCGACGCGGCTACTCGACCGGCAGGCCGAGCCGCTTGGCTCGCTTCTTCTTCCCCTCAGAGAGCTGAGCCACCTCGGTGGGCGTCATATTGGGCAGCACTTCGGTGATGACGCCGGTGCCGAGCGTGGTGACGCCGTCGCGCAGCGTGAACCGCTGGCCTTTCTCAAGTACCATCGGCCGCATCATGCGCAGTGTCAGCGACGCGTCCTCGCCCGGCATCGCCATCTCTTTGTCGTTCACCTCCACCTGGCGGTAGGTAGCACGGCTCAGCTTCGTACCGCAGCCGTGCGCGGCGCCACCGAATGATGGAAAAAAGCACGCTTAGAAAAAGTGCACAATCGCACTAAACTTCACGCTAAACACGTAATGGTTCAATCAGAGACATAGTTTTCAAGCCTGCAGAACACACACCCGCACACACATATGCACGCACGCATGCATGCGCACGCACACGCACCCACACCTGCACACGACCCACACCCACACCCGCACTCGCACCCGCACCGACACACACACACACACACACACACACACACACACACACACACACACCCACACCCACACCCACACCCACACCCACACCCACACACACGCACGCACGCACGCACGCACGCACGCACGCACGCACGCAAGCACGCACGCACGCACGCACACACACGCACAGCGAGTAAGACTTGTGCCGCATAACGCTAGAGAAGTTGTGGGTTTGGTGGACTTTTAAAGTTCAAGATTCACGTTCATTGCTGGATCCTGGAACATCTCCTTTTTGTCTTTGACTCTTCCTGTGATAGGCAGGGGCGGGGCGATGCAATTACAGCGCCCGGTTTTCCGGGTTCCACGACATCTGTGTTACAGCGAAAAATCCTGCTGACAAAAATGCCAGGTTTTTTCTACTGCCAATTCATGTACACACCAGTGCTACGCGACAAAACTTACGCGTCAAAAGTTGCATGGCTCATTGCTTCTGCAGAAAATACTCATGGCCATAATCTACACAGCATAACTTCTACTACAAAACCGTATGTGCGAAATTAGTGCTACACAGGACTCGCACTTGAAAACCCTGTACCCACCATAACATTTACCCCAAACGCTTGCAGTCATTACTTACACACAATATTATTTCTACTGCAAATACATACACACGGCATAAGTGCTTTATAAGAAAGCTTTTATTTCAAAACCCTATGCACGTCATAACTTCTATAAGAGAGCCTGTGCAGTCATTACTGATATGCGACATTACATATGCTGCATATACAACTACAGGACATCAGTGTTACCCGACACAACTTCTACTTAAAAAGCTTATGCCCATCATTACTAGCATGCATACATATGAATCATCGTCACTACGGGAAAACATTTTAAAAGCCAATACTTATACACATGACTTCTTCTACAGAAACATAAACGACATCTTAATGCCGTGCGGCACGAGTGCTGAGAGAGTTCATACCGCACGAGTTTTTGCTGCAGAAGTAAGGACGGACAGGAAGGCCTTTTTAGAAGTACGTTTTTGCAGTACAAGTCTGTCGAGTAGCAGCCATGTCGAAAATGAGTTTTTACAGAAGAAGTGATGTCGCGCATACGGAACAACTGCATAAGTTTGTGCAGTAGACGTAGTAACAGACATACGTTCTTGAGGCGTATGTTTTGTCGCGTAGCACTGATGTTGAATGCAAGTTTTTTTGGAGTAGAAGCAATGCCGCGTACAAGTTAAATCTGTACAGGTTTTGCAGTAGAGGTAATGGCACATATCAATAATGCATGACTCGTGTCGGTAGGAGCCTTGCCATGGCGGCCGTGTCGTGTCGTGACGCTGGCTTCCTGAGGATACCTCTCCACCACGACGTGCAATCGAGGCCACATATCCAGCAGTTGTGGCCGTACACTGCACTTGTTTTGGCACAAAAAGTGTCCCCAGCGTTTCCGCATTCATACAAGCGGCAGCTTTGGAGGAACACTGCACGGCGATCCACAGCCGGCGCGAGCGGCGGGCGGCAGCCGACCATGCCGTGGAACGCGCGCGCCAGGCCGATCCTGTTACATTAAACGGACTGCTCCACACTTGAAGATATTGAAGAAAACATCAGATATGATGAAGAGCTCACTTTAACTATTGGTACACTTCTAAATAGTAAAGACCGCTCTCGAAAACACAATTTGTTTAGTAAATATGGTCCTCAATGCGTCATTGTTTGAACACGTCATTGTTCCTTCCAGAACGTTGATTGGGCCGACTGCCGCCATATCTAAAAATCGTGCTTACGAACGCCTGTTAAGAACAACTCGACAAATGCATTTGTATTCGCCTTGATCGGCGTATGGCTCATGGAATAACAGGATTTGAATGACGCTATCACGTCGCCATGGATATCTTGGTAGCCTCGAAATAGTCTCCCGAAACAGTATGCACATCATCGTGAACGTGTAGATCACAAACTAGAGGGATTTAGGTCTTAAGGACGGCGGAGCTGTGAGCTGCCGAACGATCTTCAAGATGGCTTTTTCCGTTTAAACCCCCATATCAATGAGGATTACTCCCTTTAATGAAGTCGTTGAAATTAATATATTTTCAAATTGCATACAACTGCGCACCATTGTATTATGAACTGAACAAGGAACACGCCCGTTTAGGTTTTATGGTGCTAAGAGGCATGGTCTCCTACATTAAGTGCATAAAGTTAAACAAGCAAATGTTCTGAAAATTTTACCTTTGACCTCACAATTGACTAAATATTGACCTAGCAATGCAAAGCATATTACCAATCGCTATATCTCGGTAATAACAATCCACTGGCGTTTTGGCCCCGTCTCTACCTTTCTTACCCTGGAAACGGCAAGGGGGTGGGGGTAGCATCGACCCTGTCCATCAGTTCGCGTTAAGAAACACAAGGAATCAGGGTGAGGGTTAAACGTCATATCAACACAGAAAACTTAAAAATGAAGAATTAAGATTGTTCAAAGTAACAATGCATTCAACATGCAACAAAATGTACTACACTATCCCCTGCCGCGCACCAGTCCAGGTAGTCGCCACGCTCACTGCTGCTCCAACCAACACGTCCTGAGTGAGGAGTATGTCTTCCACTACAAATGTGGGGGCACAATAACACAGAATGTCTGGCAAGCATTAACGGAATAAAAGCCAAACAAAAGGTGACAAAAACTTGCTTGCCCCACGTGGCAATAACAACCAAGGTACCATGTGAATCTGCATAAGCATGCTGAGTTGAAGACTCAGGATGAGCTGAAGAACACAGATAGCTAAATCCATGCAAAACAAGCAGTCTTATAAGAATGGCTGTGCCTATGGCCTGCAAGCCAAGAATGCTGATCAATATTGCAAAGAAGACAACAATCAATCAACTGGACCCTCCAATAAGCTCCATAGATTACATTTGATTGGACCATATTAAGCTATCAACCAGATCAGATAGCAGGCAGTGATGCAAGACACTTATCTTCTTTCCCCGCCACAGACGTCTGCACATTTTTTCCAAACTTACTGGTTGTACGACTGTTACATGTTGCCATTCTATACTGATATTTCTTAGTTATCATATTCCTTGGCTTGTTCGTAATTCGCGCACCTACCGTGACTAACTTTTGCCTACTGGTTCAACAGTCATCGATGCCTCAAATCACCACGGATTGTTCAACCTCGTTACCACGCAAGTGAAGGGCAGAACAATCACCAACTTCACATAACATGCCTACCATCTGCATGCGTCTACACTGTGGCGCATCTGACTCCATCTATGAATGCAGCTGGAATGCTACAAGGAAAATGGCGACCTGCAGTTCTGATGCGATACAGGATGCCACTTATGGGTTCAGCCAATACCATTTTTCACAATCCATGTGACCGACTACTTGCGTGGATCGGCACCTCCTGGATGTGTCAGTAGACACAAAAGTAGCAGTTCCAGTTTCAATATTCAGCTCTAACACCATTGCCACATCTGGACAGTAGTCAGACTGATGACTAAACTAAGCTCTTTGTAGCCTGAAACATCGTGCTCGATGGTAAATCGACATTGCAACCACCATTCTACTATGACCAATATTTCACAACACACCACCGGCAAAAAAGCGAATGCAGAGGACGCACGTCAATAGCTTCCGTGATGATAAATACCTGGGCGGCGCAGTCCCAGGTCTTGCTGAACAGCTGCAGCTGGATAAAGGAGGTGAAAGGCTTGGTACGGCCTCCCTCGTCCTTCTTCAGGACGTACACCTGCGACTTGATGTGGTCGTGCGCTTTCATCGTGCCTGGCTTGCACATCACCATGCCACGCCTACAAAAGAATGTCTGTGACGGATCATAGGCTACTGCACATGACAACGATACATTCGGACTCTCGCACAGGAAGGAGACTGCCCGAGTCAATCGTAGTTTGGGATGGCACAGCGGAACGCATTTCGACCACATCGAACGCCATCTGTCGAAATCAACCATATCTGGAGAAATTCAGCTGCGCTATGGAAAACGAAGTAACCTAGCACTGCACAACACGTAACAAAGGCCAATGGACATCTATGTGACGGAGGCTGAGGAGCCAATCTCAAGAATTATGACTGACGGGTTCTTGTGTTGAAAATTACTGATTGAGTGAAGATGTCAAGAAATTAATTATAAATTTTACACAAATACTTGACGTTTAAAACAGTGCCAATGACCATGCGCTCATGCTTATACCACCTGGGGCTCTTGGCCATAAACATTGCTGGAGACAAATATTTGAAAGAAATGCGATTTAGTTGTTCCCTATGTATACTTCATTAATACCAGGCACGCTAAACAATTTTTTTTTTGGCAAATAACTCACCGACTGCCCAACGAGTATGTCGTTGCATTACTTCATCAATCTGCATTAAACTTTTATTCCACATTAACATTAAATCTATGGTTGCCATCATGCTCAGCGGCTATTTTGCGCGAACCTCACATCACAAAAACCGCACAAGCGCTACCGTTTAGCGACCTCGTGCGGCCATCCGCCCACGGGAGCGCACCCTCCCCCGATGCCTCTGTTGGGCACTACACGACCGCGGAGTCGAAGCGCCCCAAAGCCCCAATCACAACTAATCCTCGATGTCTGACGTTTCCAGTCCCCCCTCCAGCAGCCGGCGGGGCGCGGCGCACCTACCGGATGTCGTCCTTCTTGACGCCACGCACGAGCGCGCCCAGCTGGTCGCCGGCGTGCGCCAGCTCCAGCGTCTGGTGGAACATCTCGATGCCCGTGATAGTGGTCTTGAGCTGGCGGCTGTAGCCGAAGAACTCACACTCGGAGCCCTTCTTGATGGTGCCACGCTCCAGCCGGCCCGTCACCACCGTCCCGCGGCCCGTGATCGTGTACACGCCCTCCACCGGCATCATGAACGGCTTGTCGAGCGCCCGCTCCGGCGTCGGGATGTGCTGGTCGATGGCGGCCAGCAGCTGGTCGATGGCGCTAGCGCCGATCTCGGGGCTCTTGTCCTCGAGCGCGCACAGCGCCGAGCCCTTGATGACTGGCGTGTTCTCGCCGTCGTATCCCATCTTGTCGAGCAACTCACGGATCTCCATCTCGACCAGCTCCACCATCTCCTCGTCGGCGGCGTCCACCTTGTTGATGAACACAACCAGGTGCTCGATGCCGATCTGCTTGGCGAGCAGCATGTGCTCCTGCGTCTGCGGCATGACGCCGTCGGTGGCCGCCACCACCAGCACAGCGCCCTCCATCTGGGAAGTGCCCGTGATCATGTTCTTGATGTAGTCGGCGTGGCCCGGGCAGTCGGTGTGCGAGTAGTGGCGCGCGTCCGTGGCGTACTCGATGTGCGCCGCGTTGATGGTGATGCCGCGCGCCTTCTCCTCGGGCGCGTTGTCGATCTCGTCGTACTTCTTGGCCTGTGCGCTGCCTGTGGCAGATCAACGTTTGTCAGCGTCATGTTCGCTGATGCAACTTTGTCTAGGGATGATGGAAACATCCTGTGACATTTTGAAGCATAGCATGCTTTGAAATGCCCTGAAAATCAGGCTTCAATTATCAGAAAGCATGCCAAAAAAATATGGTAAATGAAGGGTAAAGTTCAATTGCCTTTTGCCTCAACAACCAGCATGATAGTAATAAAGATGAGTACCAAACATGTAATAAATGAGAACTGCAACTAGGAGATTACAATTACAAGTTGCAAGGAATGCATCACAAGTTTCACAGGCTTGCCCACTAATCAAATATTCAAATGGAATATGCTAGGCAGTACTATTTGGCAAAATTCAACTTCAAATGAAGTGCTTTTGATAAACTTGTTCTGAATGGTTTGCACGGGTTTCTTTGGGTTCAGAGCACCAAAAATGCACTGATTAACAGCCAATATGTGGCTAGTTATTTGTGAATGCCCATTATTCATGATAGAAAATTATGTGCTGCATGCAAGGGCTACTGGACTTCAGACACAATTTGCACAGTATTATGCCAGGCTAATGCATCCATAAAACTTGAATGGATGACTAGATTAGAAGTGCTGCAGGCTCTTAATGCTTGTGAGCAGCCAACTCAGGCCAGACCAAATTGACTTAAATTTACACATTTTAGTGGAAAATATTCTGAGGGAATTTCTTGCAACATTCACTTTGATACATCCCCAGCCTTTGAAACATTGGCTCTCTATACAATCAGCTTGTTGTCAACTATGCACCAGGCTCTGAGGCTATCATACATTTCTTGCCATGTGGCCTTTCACTAGTACAGTTTGATGCACCATTGCTTTTACCTGGGAATACAAAGTGGTGTTACTCACACCCAATAACAAAAATAACTTTTCCTTACACTTGGATTTTGAGCTAGAAATAGTGATCAGGTACATGTAAAACACTGATATCAAATGATACAATACCAAAGTGAATGACTGATTTGCTAGAACCAGAGGACAAAGCAAAATGCCCTAAAAAAGGCCCTAACCAACTTATGCTGGGAGTGAGAATTTTTTAAATTAAATATTTTTTTATATTAATCTATTCCAAATGGTTTGTATGGATGACTATGGGTTCATAGTACATGCTAAGCATAGCTTGGTGTGGGTATCCTGAACCCATGACCCATGTCCTACTGCCCAGTTCAATGGATAATTTTGCCTCTGCCCTTGCACCAGGCAGGACTGGGGAGAGTTTTACATGCCACACAATGCTACTCCCGACCCAGGCCAGGGTCCACCCTTGTTGGCCAGTTGCCAGCTGACCTTTCCATTTCAGTCAGACCAAACAATGTGCCCATTCTAGGACTTGTACCCAGTGATGTTGGATTACAAGTCCAGGATCTTTCCCCTACACCATGGAGGCACATTAGTACTATCACCACAACAAGCCATTCTAACAACAAACCATTACATAACCTGTTGCACAGACACAGAAACCACATATTAATGCTATTTTGGATATATTGCAAGTTTAAAATACACACTACAACTTATAAATGATAGCCTGAACCAAGACACGCTGTAACCCACCTTTTGACGAAAGTACTTTGGTGATCGCTGCCGTGAGTGTTGTTTTTCCATGATCAACATGTCCAATGGTACCAATGTTAACATGTGGCTTATCCCTCTGGAACACCTTCTTTCCACCAGTGGGTGGAGCTGGTGGTCCTGCACGCAGCGTCATTGTTGATGATAGACCACGAACATTTCCACAGCATAGTTGGGACACTGCAGTTTGGGGAAGACGTTGGATGTTCCCAGCAAATGCATTATGCAGACAATTCTTCACAAAATGCAAGGCTTTTGTGCGAGGGATGATGATACAGGCCATCCTTGCTTTGATATCTTCCTGGCACTGCACTCGTCACTTGAATGTGAAAATCAGCCTCGCGGAACTAAACAGGCGAAAACAGGCGTACTTCTTCGGAATGCGCGCCTAAACCCTCTCCACTCAAATATCCGATCACAGCACTAATGCATTTCTACAGGAATCGATCCAACCCAATCATTCATTGATGTATCTGCTTATCCAGCGTCAACCACGACCCAAGCAAACGCAAAACAAACTACACGGCGCGCCGCCGAAACGTCACGCCAGCATGCACTGAAAATATGTGCGCAGTATTTGTCAACCTGAGATGCGTCTGAAATATGCTACTAATTTACAGGTCAGCACACTTCGGCAGATTTCTATGGTAAATCATGCAGCCAAGTGGTGCGGCCAAACAAAGTGGTGGCAAGTAGTGCAGTGGTCTGATGTACGCCATCAAGAATAAAGTGGTTGATGGTGGTGTTTTCCATAGTTTCTATCTCCCATTCATCATTTTTAAACAGCTCACGCTAAAAAATTGGGCAATGGATATCACCCCGGATAAATCTACGACACATCCCTTACCCATTGTTGCCTAGACGGATGTGATGTATCGTGATGCGCCCAGGTCAGCTATCACATGTTAAGCATGCGCCAGCTTGCGGTTCCGAAATGCGCAGCATGCATCTCATACGGAGGCGCAACCAGGGGGGGGGGGAGACTCTGGGATCCAAGGACAGATCAGTGACGAATTCGAGATTTCGTCAAAGGTAGACTGTACACTTTTTTGGTGGGGTCCTGCAGCAGGGCATCGGGGTCAGCATCTGCACCGGGGTTACAAACAGCAACAGTTTTAAAGTTACAATTAGTCAAGGCATGGAATGATATGAGCTGTTAAGAAATGAAGCAGTATGCATCTGCCTCTGCTTTTTATATGCATCTAGAGAACGCTAGAAGTTGTTGGGACACATGTTTTGGGAGCACCGATGTATTTTGCGCAGCCCGGTACTTTGTCTTCTTCGAACAACCCCACGTGTCCAAATGGTGGTGCCGTGGTTCTGGAGGCTCCACCGTTTGACCTGTCTCTAGCGTATCTTATCCCTGCCACATACCTTTGCATATACGTGCAGATACGCTGTAATCACTCCGGGCAGCGCAGGCGACACCTTTAAAGAAATCTTCTTCCTCCAGCTGCAAGTCTCCATCACGAGACTAGCTTTGAGTGCTGAAGATATATAAAAAGATGTTTTGGATGCTCAAAGATCTTAACATAAACCAATCCACTGCCTATTTCGAAGCAGGACTCTGAAGATTGATGATAGACATCAGTTCGACGCCCTACTTTTAGGTGCAAACAACATTTGACAGCCTTATGCTGTAATGGCGCCTTCCCGACATTCAGGTGTACGGAGTACTGTTCATGCCGCAGCTAGCAGTTAATAGGAAATGGACCTACAGGCTTCGTATTGAAAATTTTTGGGTGAGTTGAACAAAATAATTCTCACGGAATTAAAATTTATTGATTTTTTTGACACCCCTTGCTGTATTCATTTATCATTCAACGCCCTGGACTCCTGGAGGTTAAAATTCTGCAGCTCTATCTACTTGGACGAGTCCATTTGTTCCCCTACCAGATTCGGCTGAAGCCAGGTCTATTGGTGCGCGGAGTTGCGAGAGTGAGGGTGGAGTGCGTGAGTGTGTAAAGGAATTGCGTGGTTGCATCCCATTTACGGGACATTGAATTGTCCTGCAGTAAATCCATCGGCATTTTCACTTGACTTGATTGAACGGGCTTTGATACTCGGGGTGCCGAACAACAGGTGCGTGGTGTTTGCGTGATATGTACTACCCCATGTCAGGTGGACTTCAATTATGAGGTAAGGGTAATGAGGTGCGAACCTTGAGGCCTATTTGATCGGGCTTCTGGTTATGCCTTATGTCTATGCGAACGTTGTTGTCAGTTCCTGACTGGTCATGCATTCTGTACCTAGTTAGATAGACAGGATCAGGGAACTACACACCCAAAACTAAGGAACTTTTCAGCTGATTGAAGTGAAGGTATTTCTGGAATAAGCATCAGGTTCAGACAATGGTGGACTGCTGAATTGTTATTAGGAATTAGGGAGTGACAATATTGAGGAATTTCATGCAGTAGCACAAAATGAAAAAATGCTGGAGGCTATGAAATTGACATGGGACGCACAAAATAAGACAGCATTTATCTGGAGCACTTAGAAGTTCTCAAGTGGGCATGAAGAGGTTGGTGATGTGTGGAACAGCTAGATTTCCCTAAACTGACTGACAAAAGAAAACTGGCAAAAAAGCTAAAAACGAACCAGCTAAGTTGGCGACAAATTATAACTATGTACCAGGACGTCAGGGAGGCTGTGATATTGTAGCATGATGCTTTTAGAGAAAAACCTTGTCAGGATATATTTAATCCAATACAAAGCCAGTTTTCCAACACTTCCTGTGTATCTTATAATTGTGTATACAGTTTTCATATTATGATTTTGTTTATTATTGCATTTTGTTATTGAAGTAAAACAATTGATAGCCATATAGTTTATTTTGCAGGATATTTTTGTGCAGGTCATCTGCCAGCTTTATTTCATGCTGCTGGTATGCTATTTCTATTTTACAGAAATGCTGCACTATATTTTGGGATTTTGTACCAGAAAGGCTTTTACTCCACTGTTGTAAGGACTGGTTGCTTTTAAACTTGCATGCTCTAGAGATAATAATGCTTTCTTTGAGTGTTATGTTATATGAAGTACTAAGCTGACCAAATACACCTTACATATTGCTACTTTGCAGCATGTGGTGGACAACCTTACACACACATTGTAAAGGGCATCAACTGTGATATTTCCTGTGATTGCATTGATCCAGATAGTTTCCAGTGATCACAGAAAGTCCTGGTGCTTTGTGGTATGTGTTTGCTTAGGTACACATACACACTGCATGGTTATAGAACACTTCTTTCAGTTGTCTGATTGAACACAGCATAATAAGGTGCCTGACAACAGCCTATTTGATTGTGTTTACTCTTTATGCTTTTTTTATTCCATTATAGTTCAAGTAACTAAAACATGTGCTGATTTCCAGATTTTGTTACCAATTATGTCTCCAATTGATTGGAGACAGGGAGCAGAATAGCTAAATCATGCAAGCATCTGTGTGGTGACAGTGATAGCTCTAGATAGTGGGCGGCGTGACACGCAAACAGCGACAGATGGCCGCCGCAGTCCCAGCGCCGTCCGCACAGCGTCACAGCCGCCGCGGGCCCCCGCCGTTGCAGCGGCACCGCGGGCTGTCCGCCCCCGGGAGTGAGCCGATAGCGGCGTCACTTTGTGGCGCGTCGGGTCAGGTCTCGCGGCTCGTGCTGTGGCCGGGCGCGGCGCCCCCCGCCGCCACCTGCGTACGGGCCGGGCCTCCACTCTGTCTCGGGCGGCCTTGGCGGACACGGTTTCCCGGCGCGGTACATGGAGATGGCGTACGGGGGTTACCGCGCACGCTGGTCCGAGACCGGCACACCTCGTGGCCCAGCTGGGGAGCCGAGGTGCGGGCTCTCCGCCATTTACCACACTTTGGGCACTTTGGGGAGTGACATGGATGGGGAGGCCGACACCAAAAACGGCCACTGGGAGTGCTGGGTGAGGGAAGGCGCATTCCGAAGAGGGTGGCCACGCCGACACCGGCGCCGATGGCGGGAACGGACCCGTTCAGGGAACGGGGCAGCGGGCCCAACCTGTCGAGACGTGCTGCGGGCGGCGCCGTCCCCGGCCGGCCGGTCCGACACCTCACCGGCCGGCAGGTCCGGCACGCGGGCGTGACGTCACCCGACGCCGACCCCTCGGGCGGCGCGGCCGAACCGGGCAGGGGAGGGGGAGATGTTTGGCTGGCAGCGGAGGGGTGCTGTCGGACAGGCTGCCTTGGCGACCAGCACGAGGATTCAGAGGTCAGCTGGTAGAGTGGAGGTGGGCAGCTGGGAGTTGCGTGGTCTGACATTAGACGCATGCTGAAATCCAATCCAGGCTAGTTGGCGTCGATGGATGGGCTCATTGTGTGCAACAGGGAATGTCGAACAAGTGCTTCGTTGTTACGCTCGGGCCGCCGTCAGATGAGTGATGGCGCTGATGCCCCGACGGATGTGGCCATGCGACAGTGCCGATGTGTGGCAGGAACCGCAGTGAGCTGGCTGGCTGCCCGTCATACCGTTGATTGGTCACGGCTGTTTGGCGATCGTCTGTCGTTTGTTTTGCCGCTCGGCTTCTCTATCGTATTCGCCTCCGTCCCGCCTTGCTAGCAGCAAGCCTCTGTCCCAGCGACCGTCAGTCACTGTCATCCGCAAGGGCGTCGGTCGGCCTCCCGCGCCGGCATTCTGGCACGTAACGACACGGCACGGCCATTGAGGCCGGCTTATGTCTGATGCTTTGATATGCCGTATTTGGTGCGGCTGGAGCCGGCAGCGGCGCGCCGCTTGCCGCCACTCCCACTGCCGCCCGGTCCCGAGTCGGTGCGCCGAGCTGGCATTCCGAGAAGTGCGATGTGGCAGCATTGAGCGATGGCGCTGCTGTCAGCGACTGCTGTCGCGGACGCGCGCACAGATGGACGAGACTCGGCGGTGACGTCGGTCACGAACTGCACGGGGTGTGGTGAGGCGATAGACTAGTTTTCACCACCTGCGAGTGTTTTAGTGCGCCTGCCGGTCCGCAGTATGTCGTGCCATAGGTGGGCCTGTCGGTTGTCACTTAAAAAACCCCTGATTGAAACGGCTATGAGGAGTTACGGCGGATGGGAATAGGTTACTAGCACAATGCTAGTTTAATCACGCAACGTTCCGTCCTTGACTCACATACCTGCAAACGACAGGGTTTCCCGCACCTTCCTTTCAGACCTACGGACCATATTTCCCTGACACTGACAGTTTTTGAAGTGCTCTTCCAATCGAAATGAATCTAGTGCCGGGCGGACAAGGCACAGTACAGTAGGCGGCGCCGCCGGTGGACAGGTGTTACAATCAATATATATCTCGCGTGTTGTTCGGCCCGACCGCCAGTCGACGCCTCTGACGGCCCATGCCTCGGTTGCTGAGCTGAACTCAATATCACGTCCGAATGGCGTCGTCCGGCGATCCGGCTTTGAGCCGTGCCTGGACGCGAAGCAAGCAACGGGGCGCGACCCATCAGCGACCCGCGGCGGCCCCGGCCGCCAGCAGAGGTCAACTGACACGTGATCGGTCCCGCCCCCACGTACGTCGCCTGTTGCTGAGGGGGGGGGGGGGGGGCGCCGCCTGGCCGCCCGGACAGGTCGGCTCCTGTTTCGGTCGGTGCCGCGAGCGCCGCGGCTGGCGGCCGTCGCCGTGGCCGCGCTGCGGTCGCTGCGGTCATCGGCTCGCCGGGGGCCGTGATTGCTGTGATCGCCGTGGTATGCCGGCCGCTGCCAACGCGCCCCGGGGTCAGGTGGGCATGCTGCACCTGTGGACCGACTGCACCGCACGCTGCAAAGTGCTCAGCGGCCTTGGGACGTTTGCCCCGTGGTGCCCCGTTGTTTGGTTGTAACTGAAGCGCCATGCGCCAGGTGGAAAAGACCAAAGACCTGACCTGCGGCTGCTGCGCCGAGCAGCGCCCGGCCGGAGATTGGCATCTTGCTCAGTTGGACGGCTGTCGGTCGCCTCTCGCACAAGCCCGGCTCCGCTTGCTCGGCGCACGTCCGCTCTCCCGTCATGGTCGCTTAGACGGTGGCGGATGTTGCGCCCGGCTCGGTGGCGGACAGATGGCTGTCGCTCTCGTCCGGCCGCCGCGGGCTGAGGAGCCATCCCCGTCCGGGGGCAAGATACACAGGCAGCTAGCTCTCAACGCCGCCGGCCCATACTGCCGTGCGGTATAGGCTCCTCTCCCAGCCGACCGTGCGCTGCACGGAACTCTGCGTGCCAGCCCGCAGCGGCATATCTTTGCTTTGATTCGTCCTTCCACTCTGCGTCGTCACAGCTGTCCCTCCCTGTTCCGGCTGCCGTCTGTGGCAGCCGGCGCCGGCCGAGCGGCGTGGCGCGCGCCATCGTGTGTCCGGCCGGTTGGCCCAGGCGCGCACCAGCCGTGTCCGCGCCTTCCCAGAACGGCTGCCGGTGGCGTCTCTGTCCCCACACCGCGTCGCCACCCAGATGTACCGCCGCCGCCCCCATCCGGCTGGCGGTCAATGTTTCCTCCTGTGGCGCGGGGCATCGGGACCGAATTACCGGACCGATGCCACGCGGCGCCGTCGCTCAGTGCAAACGTCCGGCCCATCGTCGCGGCCTCTTCCGCCCACTGGCGCGGGTGACGGTGCCGCGGTACGCCCCGCGGCCGCTCAGCGCTGCCTGGCCCGACCTGACCCGATCGGGCCTGGGCTGCTTGGCACGTTCGCGGCGTCGCAAACGCCGCGCTGCAGCCGCGGGAAGGCCGATCTGGCGGCGGCACCCACGCCGCCGTCGCGCGCAGCTCACCTCCCGGCTCCCGCTGTTGGCTGCCGGCGTTTTTGTCGGGGCCGTTGGCGCGTTGGTGGCAAAACTGGGCGTGGCGTGTTGCCTCTGATCAAACACGCGCCTCTCAGCGGCGGGCCGGGGCCGGGGACGGGGACAGGGACGGGGGCGGCGGCGGCGGAGCGTCGCGCCTCGAGCACCGCCCATCGGTCTCGAGCTAGCTGCTGCGCCGCCGCTCAGACGTCTTCTGAGCAGTGCCACTGTGGCGAGCGCCGGCCAATGTGCGTTGCTTCACAATGCGGCTGTGTGTGCTGACCCGGTGCCAACGGCCGACCGCCGGCTGTGTGTGCACTGTACTGCCCTGGGCAGCTGACGCCGCGACGTGTGGCGACGGTACGCGCGCCCCGGGCTCTCATCGGCACGTGGGCTGCAGCCTCGCCTGCAGACTGTGCACAGGACTTCTCAGCGACCGTCAGCGCCGCGGGCGAACGTGGTATCCGTGTTTACATTCCGCAGGTTAATGGGGGCCCACAGGCCCGGGTCATGCGTGTTTACACAAAGCGGCCGGCGGTGTGCACATGGTCGTGGTCGCTGGCCTCGGCTGGCCCGCTGACCCCGGCGCTGCTGCCGCTGATCTATCAGCGGGCGCGCCGCGGCAGTGCGACGAGAGACGGCGCCGGTGCGCGCCACTCGGGAGGCGTTACTTCGCCGATAGAACATCGAACCGGGCACTGAGCTCGCGCCATCCATTTACGGCCGGCGCCAGATTCGCCCGACCTTTCCGCAAAAGACGGCTGAGTGGTATAGATGGGCTCTCCCGCACCGAGAGCGGGGAAATTCAGTGGGGCTCGTTTGTTGCCAGTTTGGCCGCGCTTATGTGGGTCAGACCTGCTGACCTGCTGCGTGAATGGCGCGGCGGGCGCTGCGGCTCAGCCCTGCAGAGCGGCCGCAGCCGGCGATGCCTGTGACGCGCACCGGTAATCGGATGCCGCACGCGGCCACTTGAAGAGCTCAGTCGTCCGGCGTTACTGCCGTCTCCGCGGAGCCGCCCTCGCACGGCGGTCGGCTCCCCGCATTCCTCGCCGCCCCTCCCCCAGCGTGGCCCGCAGCGGTGGATGTCCCGCCGCCGCCGCCGTCGCCGCCGTCTGGGTGTGACGCTGCTCGCTCGCCTGGTCGCCCGGCCGGCGGGCCGGCGGACAGAGCCTGTTTGTTTATGGTTCCGGTAGTTATGCGGCCGATTTAGACCCCCGGCCTGGCGGTGAATCACGCCGGCCCGGCCGACGCGGCACTCCCATAGCCGGCCATTGTCGTCGCCGTGCAGAGCGGCAGATAAAAAATGATCGTATGGGTGCTGGGAGCTGGGTGAAATGAGCGGGTTAAATCCATTTTGCCGTGCAACGCCAGAGGGTACTGCCGCAGGATTCTAAGTGAGTCGACGGGGAAAGGTGGGAGAGAGGGAGGCGAACAACTACCCATGTGCACCGAGGTCCCACGCCAATGCCAATGGTGGGAAGGACGCCCCGCTTCCGGGCGTATCTGAAAGGCTGGACATATCTGACCAGAAGCGTGCACACTTAATTGGCACGGTAATTGACAGCTAGCGAAGTCAGTGACCTGGTAGCCACAGGTAGCCGCGTCACAACAAATCCTCACCTGAGGCCTACAGTCGTTCGTGTGTGTCACGGGTGAGTTCATTTGCGACGGAAGTCATCCGTAACGTGACAGGTAACTGTCCTGGGGTGGCACCTGCCAAGCAAGAGCGAGCCTCCTGCCTCGTCAGTGGCTGGGCAGAGCACCGCGAGCCGCAATGGCGACGGACAAGCGGCCGCCTCTGTGCGGTGTTCCCGTGTTGGCTGGCCCGCTGCGCCGCGGCGTACCGTGCTCTGAGCAGGGCCCGCTGACTGATCCCGCGCCATGTGTCCGCAGGTGTCGCGTGGGCGCTGCGCGCGGGATGGCCGGCCCGCACTGGCCGCCGTGGGCCCTCTGCGCCACGCTGCTGGCGACGCTGGCGCCGGCCGCCGCCCGCGCCAGCTACATAGTGAAGGAGTTCAGTGACAGCTTCGTGACGGACAAGCTGAACCACATGGTGGTAGACGAGCACACCGGCCGCGTGTACGTGGGCGCCATTAACCGACTGTACCAGCTGAGCCGCGACCTGGACCTGGTCATCTCGGTGGAGACGGGGCCCGAGGACGACGACCCCGAGTGCTCGCCGGCCAACGAGTGCCCGGCGTACGTGGTGAAGCGGCCGACGGACAACGTCAACAAGGCGCTGGTGATCGACAAGACGCACGGCACGCTGATCGTGTGCGGCTCGCTCTTCCAGGGACGCTGCCAGGTGCGCAACCTGCACAATGTGAGCGTGGTGGAGCGCCAGGCCGAGGAGGCGGTGGTGGCGAACAACGAGACGGCTTCGACGGTGGCATTTATCGCGCCCGGACCGCCCAACCCGCCCGAGACGCACGTGCTGTACGTGGGCGTCACGTTCACGGGCGGCGCGCGCGCGCCCTACCGCAACGAGGTGCCGGCCGTGTCAAGCCGCTCACTCGACCGCGACCGCATGTTCACCATCTCGGAGCTGGCCGTCACCACCGGCACGCGCATGTCGATCAACTCACTGGCGCGCGAGCGCTACTACATCAGCTACGTGTACGGCTTCGGCTCCAACGGCTTCAGCTACTTCCTGACGACGCAGATGCGGCGCAGCACTGAGACCAGCCCGTACATCTCGAAGCTGGTGCGCGTGTGCCAGGACGACCCGCACTACTACTCATACACCGAGATCCCGATCGACTGCATCGACGACAAGGGCATCAAGTACAACCTGGCGCAGGCGGCGCACGTGGCCACGGCCGGCTCGGACGTGGCCACTAAGCTGGGCATCACGGCGCAGGACGACGTGTTGTACGCCGTGTTCTCCGTCAGCGAGCGCAGCGAGGGCGAGAACTCGGACAAGCCCACCAACAAGTCGGCGCTGTGCGTGTACTCGCTCAAGGACATCCGGCACAAGTTTACGCGCAACATCATGGAGTGCTACCGCGGCAACGTGGATCGCGGTCTCGAGTTCATCTCGCCCGGCAAGAAGTGCGTCTCGACGGTGAGTACCCGGCCGACGCTCGGTGTCACGCTCCCCTCCAGCGCACCTCGAGCCGGCACTTCATCGGCACTACTGTCGCGCTGGTCACTCGTACCGCCTCGGCGGTCTTCGGCGGCCACTCCAGCGGCGGTGGCGATCGCCGGCGATTGCTGACCAACCCGGCCTGCTCCCCTCCACCACCCGCGGGCGCGGCCGGCGGCGCGCGCGCCCTGCAGTCATGAGCCGGTTCATGAGGCCGGCTCCGTCGACGCGCGCCCATTGCCAGTCCCCACACGTACGCCGGCAGGCGTCTATTGATTTCCTGGGCGGCGGCCGGCCGGCCGTTCGGCCGGACCGGCCGCCTTTGTAGCGGCGCGCCGGCCGAAGCGGCCGGCGTCAACAGCGGCGCCGCCCGCCGACGGCTCGAGATGAGGCTCTGGCCCGACCGTCATCGCCGCCACCGCCGCCTGATGACTTCTGGCGATGACGTGCGCCGGTGGCGACGGCTCGCCGCCATCCGTCATCGTGGCAGACGGCGCCCCCGCGCTCGCGCCGCGCGCCGACCCGCCGACGGCTGGGCAGGGATGGGATGCGCGGTGTTCCGCGTGGCTGAGCGCCGTGTTGGTGCACCGCTCCGGGCTGCCGCGCTCGCTGGCGGCGGCGAATCGGGCCGCAGCGGGCCAATCTGGCTCGAGTGGGTCGTACCGGGAGCGCTTCAGGACGTGTGATGGTCGGCCACGCGCAGCCTCACGGCTCAAGCGAGTGTTTGGCGCCGGGTGGGGAGCGTCGTAGTCGCGGGCCAGGTTCATGTAATCGCCGTTGACTGCCGGCGCGGCTCTATTCCGGCTTAGCCCGTGTGTCAATGTCGCCGTCGCGGCCGGCGCGGGGCTAAAGCCGCCGGACGACCGGCCCCGCACCAGGCGGCCCGTGCGCGCTGACTGGGTGGGTGACCAGAGGGAACGGATGGCGGTAGCGGCCGGCCGTCGCTCCGTCTCGGCGGTGGCGGGCCGGAGGCCGCCTCGTGACCGGGCGCGGCCGCGGACGTCTCGTTAGCCGCCACGCTCGTTATGGCCACCGAAAGTCGGCGGACGGGTCGGGACGAGTCGGCCCGATCTGGGTCGCGGCCGGAGCGCGCCCGCCGCCCGCCGAGCGGCCATTGTCCCGGTCGCGGCGCGCCCGCGCCATTGTCGTCCGGTGCCGTTTGTCGTCCGCCGGGCGGCATGGTGGTTGGAGCCGGTGGGTTCCGAGCCGACGCTCGCAGCCAGACTGCCAGGAGTGGGGGCCCGGGGCTCTCGCAGATGCGGCGATGGGGCGCCTAGCCGACACGGCGCTGGTCCTGAGATTGACGCGTTTAGTGTGGGGCACTTCGTGCGTCAATATATTGTCGAGTTGTCTGTCAGAAGGCCACTCTCGTGGCATGGATCGTTGCGCATGGGTAGCGCAAAGATGAAATACGGGTTTCTTTCGCATTTCGGGTTGCCGCGTCGGTGCGAGACGGGAGGGGAGGGGGGGGGGGGGAGAGAATGGCGTATCAAGTCTTTTTACTGCTGTAACGTCTCCTATGTGCCACTGGCACGAGTTGTGAGTGCTGTCAGGATTTGAGCCTTGCAACGTTCTGCAGTGAAATGTATGCTTGCCTGCTGTGACCGCCAGCCTGCGTTTCCTTGTCTTTACTGTTCGCCGCGTTCCTCAACTGGGTGGCACTCCACACCCCAGCTCTGTGGTTAATCAGCCACGGGATCACGCGCCGTGCCGCCGGGCGACTTTTTTTAGTTTGCCTCGTTGTGAGGCCGCCCTCTTTGAAAGGTCGACCGGACCGGACGGCCCCCCCCCCCCCTCTCCGTCCCCCGAGACGGACGCTTTTTGCCCGGCACCGTCCCGTTGTCGCCCGCGAGAGCGGCGTGTGATTAACTGCCGGCACATTTGCATAACTGCGGCCAAGTTGGTCCGGGGAGGAGGTGGGCGGTGGGCGGTGCCGCCGACGGCGCGGGCGGTGGATGAGCCCCGCCTCCGCGGCCGACCAACGGGAGACAAGCGCTGTGTATGCGCCGTCCCTGCCCCGGCCGGTCGGACGGCCGGTCCTTTGTTTCCTCGTACTGACCGGACCTTTTCAGGGAGGGATTAGGCACGGCGCTTTTTACCCAGGCGAGCCCATTGCCGTTAGGTATCGGCGGGCCGGCAGGACCTGGCGCTGATGGAGCGCCTCTGAGGCCGTCACCGGCCCTTTGTCTCCGCTAATTCGGTCCGACTCGGGAAGCCATGCTTTAATGTAAATCGCGGCCACTGCTCTTCACCGTGACGAAGCGACATTATATAACTGCGGCGGCGGCTCGCTAATAACGGCTGTTTTGTGAGAACGCACCTCGTCAGCCAGCGGCTCCCATCAGCTGCCGACGATGGGCCGAAATACAGCTGCCCAGTGAAAGTGACGTCAGCTGAGGCGGCCTGGCCTGGCCTGGCCCGTTTTCCCCGCCGCAATATGTGTTTGTGGCGAGCCGCCGAGAGCAGAGGTCGCAATTAGCTGCGGGGGCCATCGCGGGCGTCCGGGCGGCGCTCATTGTCTCGCCGATGGTGAGTTATTGTCGCGTCCGAGGTCTCTGGGTGCGGGGCCGCGGCCGGCGCTCAGGTAATCTGGGCTCCGGTGGGGCCAGGGCCCCCTCCACCTGGCGAAGAGCCGCGCGAACTCGGCGCTCCCGCCTAACGGGCTACCTAGTTATGGGGCGTTACTGCTGCTTGGCATAATTTCGACCATATTGTCGGCGTTTAAAGGCCGCCGTCGTTGTCGTAAATTCCTATGGCGATGGTATCGTCTTATGGACCTTTATCTCACTTTTGTTGCCCTACAAACTTCTCTTTGCAACCGTAAAACTAAATTTGGGTTTCCCAGCGGGTCGGGGACGGAATACTGATTGGAGCTGCCCCTACGTCCTTTTCTAGGTCGGGCATGTCCTGTGTTAATTGGCTCTCAGCGTAGATGAACGCTGTGAAATGGACGCCTGAATGACGCCATCTGTGTCCCTATCTCACTCCCAAACTTAGATTGAGTCATCATGTGTCTTATTTAAGTTTCGATGAGCTCCTGTGTGATCCGGGTGGCCCAACGCCAGCCGAAGGTTATCAGAGCCTTGCGCCATTTCCCCATGCCATTTGGGCCGGTGCGCGATCGAGAAATCAAACAGACGCCGGTCGGCGGAGCCGGCGACTGCACCTGTTACGCCCCGGTCGAGGAGGAGGTCCTGGCCGCGCGATCTCTGTCACGCCGTCACGCCTCCACTCCATGAGATCGGTTCGGGCTCCGCACGCTTTATGACTTTCTGGCTGACCATTTCTCAGTGATTCGCGTGATGCATCAACCCTTCGACGACTTCGTTTCGCGTTTGTGGGCCTTTGCTGGCGCGCTTATGCGTGGATTCCTGCCCTGGAACGCCTCACTCTCGACTTGCCGCGCAGGGAGCCGGCGAGGTCGGGCTCGGCGGCCGCCGGGTGCCGTCCCCACGCCGCAGGGCCGCCACGTGCGTGCGCGCCGGCCTCCCGGCCTGCCTGCGCTCAGCATCCGCTGCATCGATCTCGTCTGCCGGTGGAACGACCGGCGCCGCCGGCACGTGCCCGGGCGGTGGGCGGGCGCGGCGGGCCTGTTACTGCTCTGGCGCTCGGACGGCTGTCTTGTGCTGAAGCCCGTCAGCGGCTACAAGCCCTGAGTCCTTCAGCAGCGCAAGCTGCCTGACCCCGCTCCGCCGCCGTCCGATGTTGTCACTGCTGATCTCGATTATCTGTGGTGATGCGTGACCACGGTATCGTCGATGGTCTGCTGTGTTGGCGGGTCCGAAGTGCCTGGCGGACGTCCATCTCTGTTGTACGACACCCCTCTCGTCCTCGTAGCGATGGCGCGCGCCGCGGAGCGATGCCCCGCCCTACTCCGACACGGTCCCTGGGACGCGCCGCATCACGTTCCGAGCCGGCCCGGCCGTGCCGCGGCCACCGGCGCGGCGACCGTTCGCTGCGGCGGCGGGTCGCTTTGTCGATGGCGTGACACCGCCTGTCAGCCGCCGGCCGGCCGACCGGTCGGTCGGTCCGACGCGGCGCCGCGCTGTCGCCGTGTGACGGCGCCCGGCGCCGGCGCTGGCGGCGGGCTGGGGCGGCGACGCGGGGCCGGCGTCCAGCCCTGGTGGCGCTGTGGCTGGAACCTGGACTGGAACGCAGATCAGGAGTTGAGTCTGATGATCTGTGATCAGCTGTGGCCTTGCTGAGGGAATCACCGAGCCTTGGTTGTTACCCTGAGCCCTGAGCCCCCGAATCCGGGCGCCGAAGGTCACTTTAGTACAAGAGATATATGTTTTACTGGCAAAAATGCGCATCAAAAAGCCACAATTACCAGTGACCATTTTACCAGTAATTTTTCCAGTGATTACCATTGTTGCCAGTAAAACATCTATATCTTGTACCAGAGTGACGTTTGGCGCCCGAATTTGAACAGGTGTAGTTGTCCGCCCACAACTATGATTCCATGGTTTGTCATGGGGCACGTAAACTCATACGGTGTCAAAAAGCAACATCACTGGCACCAGTGGGCACAGCGTTTTGCAACGTAAGAATGCGTACTCCATAACCAGAGAACAGAACCAAGTTCCCACCCTGGTACGTTATCAATGCTGGCATCACAAGCAGGCGAAGGTCGGACGTGAGGTGAGTGCGGAAATAGGGACCGGCATGTCCACCCACTCACGGACACTCTCGGGTCTGAATGGCGCACCATCTGTTCCATCGACCGGCACCATGTCCAGCAAGCGACAACCGTGACCGCCGACCGTGACCGCGGAACCCCGTGAGACTAGCGGGGGCCGGCAACGCCCGGCCTCTACGCGCCGCCCTCGGACGCGGCGCCGTCCCGGGAGGCGGTGCTGCGGTGGCGGCGACCGTCGGCCGGGACAGCGCCGAGTGGCGGCAATAAGCACCGGCCGGTGACGGCCGCACACGGCTAATGACGGGGTCGGCCGGCCCTCTGGAATAGACCGGCCGCCCGC